GATATGTACATACATGTACTGGATGATCTCCAACACTTTCAAAATTAGGAAAAAATGAAAATTTTAACTTTTACAGATATAATGGTGAATTATAATCGTAATTCCATAAGATATACAGGAATCTATGTATATTAATAATACGGAATTATATTACTATATCATATTTCTGAGATCGACGCGCTTAAACATGATAGACGGACGGACAGGGCAACGTTGACTCAGCTCGTCACCCTGACTAAGAAGATATTTACTGTATGGCATCTGCCACGCCTTCTTCTGCCTATTACATACTTTTAACATTTTGCCCGGATCTCGCATTTTCAAATATCATATGAATTGTATGGGAGTGAATTAACTGGTGTTTTATTACTAGAGCCTTTCAAAACTTTCCGACAACAGCAAAACCGAATACATATTTTCCGGAACACATAGTTATGGAACTTAAAAGCCTTGAACTTTGAGTTCGAATGTAAAGTTTGAAATGTAAATTTCTTCCATTGTATTTCAGTGCCTGCTACAGCTGAGGCTGATTTTTGTTGTCCTTGTCTTGCAGTTAGTTTCAAGCAGACACATAAATTAATTGGCTGTATGGTTGGGGGGCTGGGGGGCTGGGTGGTTGGGTGGTAGCCAGTTGAGGTGATTGGGATGTGTCCCTGTCACTACACTTAATTATAGAGCAACTAGCCTTCATCTGACATGTAGACACGCACACACACACACACGCACACGCACACATATGCGACTGGCCCAGAGGTGTGATATTGACGTTGATTGTTGTTATTGGACCCGTACACAGTGTGAAGTCTGCTTTGCGGGTAATGGGATTCCGTTTGCGTAGGCAGCCTGCTTAGCTGTGTGTGTGTGCGTGTGTGGGTGTGTGTGAGGCAGCAAACGGCAAATTAATCAAATTTACATTATGTCAACACGCTCGACAAACGGCAGTTGGCAGTTGTCCACTTCAAAGACGAGCCTGCCAATTAAGCGTGTGACCAGCTTGTTCCGCTGCCTTCGGGCGGCTATTGGGCAATAATTTAGCTCAGATCCAAGAAAATGGCTGCACAGCAGGCGGCCGGACGGAGCTAAGACCCGTGCCCGTGCCCGTGCTGGTGCTCGAGCCCCTGCCCGTTCTCCTGCCCCTTCTCCTGCCCCTTCTCCGGCCCCTGCCCTGGGGCAAGTTTTGCAGAATGGACGCGCATGGCCTGATGCCTCCATTCATTGCTATTGTTCAAACAACACTCACACACACACACACACAGCTGTGGAGGAGTGTGTGAAGACCGCCAGGGAGTGGATTCCGCACACCACAGGCGCCTGGGAGCTTAAAAATGCCTGCAAAATACATGCGCTCAACTATTGCTGCCAAAGACATTAAATTTTGATGCCAGACATCGAGCGATGTGGCGTTGTCTGCCGTCCGTTCGTTGGTTGGCAACATGGAGCCAGAGTGGCCGACCGACCGACCGACCGACCCCTGTCAGTGGCATGTATCCACACACATACACACACACAAATACATGGACAACGGTTGGGCACGCATGGCGTATACGTAATGCACACAGCTGTAGATACGCTGGGCGTTACTATCCCCCCTTGCTTCCGTCTCGTCGACCGGTCTACTTCTGTCTAAGTCAGAGTCGGCCCGCCCGCTTCTAGCTCGCACAGACTCCTGCCGCACAGTGGTTCGCCGTGAGACACAAATGCCTTTGTCTTAGACACAATTCAATATCCGGGCGCAGATATCGATTAATCTCGTTTTTCTATGCGCCTTCCCATGGGCCCAACTTGAGTTGACAGCAACTAGGCGTCGTTCTTCAAGTTGATAATTTAAGATTCGCTGCATCTTTAGAAATAATTTGCAGCGAGTGCTCACTGTACTCGGGCTGCGCACTTGAGCTGTGAGTTGGCAGGCAAAGTGCTATAAATTATCGAGTAGTTGGTTCCAGCGCTCTGGGCCCAGCCGGGCGGACCAGCGGGCCAGCGGGGCACGGCCGGGGGCATAGTCCATCAAGCTGGCTACAAGAAAGAGGTGGCCATAGCTCAGCTCAGCTCAGCGAAAGTTGTGGCAAAATTATAGCCGCTTGATTCGGGCTCTGGCTTAAATGGGAATGCTCAGATAATGCGCCATGTGCCGCCCGAATTAAACGTCTTGCCATCCCAGACAACAACAGCGATAGAGACAGAGATGGAGATGGAGAGATAGAGAGAGATAGTGCGCGGTACATGATGATCTATGCCACTTTCGAGTTACTTTCGATGTAGGCATAATAAAGTTTCCAAAGGTTTTTTTTCCACCTACCGCCATCCGGCAGTCATAAAAGAGTCCGTCTTGACTGCTATTGCTTCTGTTATTCCTGTTGTTACACTGAGTTGTCGTTGTTGTTGTAGCCGCTGCTGCTGCTGCTGCTGCTGCTTCACATTAACGGCGTACTGGGGTAGCCAAGTGTAGCAGAGCAAACTTAATTAGTGCAAGTTAAACAAGCCAAGTTGTATAAATATTCCCCGGCAGCACAAACTTTTGTAGCACAACAATAAAATGTGTGTGCGTATGGGTGTTTGTGTGTGTGTGTGTGCGTGCAGGTAGCCACGATTCCTGTAGTCGTTACTGTTCACCCTGTTCACCCCTACCAATGGCATGCCCATCTGCAGCCATCCGCCCCCGCCCCCTCTTCACCTTATTGACAATGCGAACGCCTAGTCCAACTTTATAGAGGCTAAAGCTGAGACAAACTGCGACGCAGACCCGCTGCCCGGAATGAGCTCAAGCATCTGTGGAGTGGTGAGTAATCATAAACAAGATACAGCAGCTGGCTTTGTTACAAATTTGAAGATCATCGCATACCCTTCCGCCCTGCAGGCGGCGATGACTGATGCAACTCAATATTGTTACTGAATGAAATTAAAATGGGCGTTAATGAGGCTGAAACTTTTGTTGGAGCAACTAATTGAGCTGGAGCAAGATTACCGGACTCTTAGTGTGGGGCGTAGGTGACATATAAACAGCGATGATTATAATTAGTATTTTAATGTATTTAGTATTTTAAATAGTATTTTCACTAATATCCTTAATATTA